CCCTAAGGTGTCTCTTGGTATGTTTAACATCTTTGCAATCTTCTTATAGCCATTGCCTTCCTGTGAAGAGAAATCACCTCTTCTACTGTGTTGTCTTCCTGGACCATTCTCTTGCCTTCACCATGTTTGTAACCACACCAGTAAATGTCTAGAAGGGAGCTGAGTATCACAGTCATTTTAAAGCTGCCTAATTGGTGCTTATTATGCTTGATTGCTGCTCGGTGACATCCACAGGTGTTTTCAATACCTGATGGAAAGCACCTGTATGAACCTCTGTTCTTCAGAGTGGTAGTCTTTAAGGGGTTGAATAATTGTGGCAATGAAGAAACCACATAAGAACCATTTACTACTGTATTACATAAACAATTGATGTCATTTTAGTTGCATTTGGGTAGTTACAACGTCCTTGTAGGATTTGATTCTGAATACAATTCCAAATGTACACTATAGTCCCTAAACCCCTTTACAGCATTGGGGGTTGAATAATTTTGGACACAACTGTATATATATATATATATATATATATATAAATAAATAAGTTAATATATATATATATATATATATATATCACCCAAATCACATATATATATATGTATATCATAAAAATATTCTCTCTTCAAACAGAATCAATGATTTTGGACAATCTGGATGACATTTGCGATCACTGCGCAAGAATCAAATTCTCATGTAAGTGAACACAACGTGATTTGAGTGTTTTAGCAATTGCAAGCCTGTGAAAGAGTCACTGTTATGCTAATTTGTGCCCTCAGCAACCTTACCTAATCTTATCTTAATATTGCTCTAACAATTTGTGCAAACCATTTTAAACCAACCCCCCCCCCCCCCCCCCCCCTGTGTGCGTCGCAATGCATTGTTAAAGAAGACTAAATCTAAGTAAGACACCTACATTCACTTTGAACTTTACCATTCTGCTACATTACATAAAAGTCATACTAATGTAATATTTTAATCAGCATACAGTACTGCTGACTTTATATGGGGTTTACAAATTACAGGAAATAAACTGGGGGAAAATAACAGGAAAATTCTTTTCTAATTTTTTACAATGTATTCCCAATAAAAACCAAGGAAATAAAAATATATGATTCTAAATTTGCTATAAAATGAGAGTTATTTCTGTCTTAAAAAAAAAACACCTATAATATGTTAGGGTAGACAACAATATGTAAAAGATATAATGTGTGAAAATCGGACCTTGTCAAAAGTGAAAAAAAAAAAACTATTCGGGACTCAAGGGGATTTAGGGAGAAAAAGACAGAGGACTAAAGTGGTTAAGATGAAACTGTCTAGAGTTGATCCAGAGCTTTGGATGGCTTTATAGTCGGATTTTATGAATTTGGATGTCCTGAGCTGAATCGAAATGTCAGTGTTATTTTTGGGGGTTTGAATTTCCGAAATACTTCTAGGAGAAAGCAAACAAAGGCTGCTTCTGCTTTTGGCGGCTAGTGCCACCATGTCCCACAACAGTTAGTTTTGCTTGGTGAATATTTAAAGGAAGTGGCTCAGGCTATTTTTGACTCAGTATTCATGTCAGGCAGGGCTACCAGTAGCTTCCAAACCATCCTGCATAATTTTGCATCATTTGCTACTCTGCAATACACAATTGTTGGAGACTCGTTTGGATTTCCATAGACTTTATTTGTACATACCAAAATTCAGAATTTCATAGGTTCATAAAATGTTTGGTCAGAGCATAACAGATCATACTTTCAGAAGTTTGCTCCTCTATAGCTGTGCCTAAAAGGTAGAACTATGGACTCTGGGTGAGAGGTCCTTTTGGTGATGCTTTATATCCTCTGATCCTAAGTCAATCACAGCATGAGCATCCCCCTATCACCTATCAAATGTCCTCTTTGTAGCAAGCAAGATTCTTGGATGAATGGCACATAGGAGCAGTGAATCGTCACACCAGAATTTTTTTTTTTCTTAGTAGAGGACGGCTAGAACCACTGTCAGCTTATTATTGCTGTCTGTGTCCCTGTTGTAGATTTTCCCTAAGTACCTAGTGCATCTATTGTCAAAGGAACAGAAAGTGAGGAGACATTTCTCCAATGGAGTGCTGGATACTTCAAAGAAAAAGCAAAGACAGTTTTGTAGTCTTTTACAACACACAAGAAGCCAACATTATGGTCCTGCCCATGTTCTGCATTTTGCCTGTCCACTTTCCGGGTGGTGGCACCCAAATCACACCCACTTTACAGGTCGGTCCCAACCAGACATTAACTCCTAATATGTGAAGGTTGCCCATCACACCTACTTTATTTGTACATACCAAAATTTAGAATTTCATAGGTTCATAAAATGTTTGGTCAGAGCATAACAGATCATACTTTCAGAAGTTTGCTCCTCTATAGCTGTGCCTAAAGGGTAGAACTATGGACTCTGGGTGAGAGGTCCTTTTGGTGATGCTTTATATCCTCTGATCCTAAGTCAATCACAGCATGAGCATCCCCCTATCACCTATCAAATGTCCTCTTTGCAGCAAGCAAGATTCTTGGATGAATGTCACATTGGAGCAGTGAATCTTCACACCAGAATTTTTTTTTTCTTAGTAGAGGAAGGCTAGAACCACTGTCAGCTTATTATTGCTGTCTGTGTGCTTGTTGTAGATTTTCCCTAACTTCCTAGTGCAACTATTGTGAAAGGAACAGAAAGTGAGGAGACATTTCTCCAATGGAGTGCTGGATACTTAAAAGAAAAAGCCAAGACAGTTTTGTAGTCGTTTACAACACACAAGAAGCCAACATTATGGTCCTGCCCATGTTCTGCATTTTGCCTGTCCACTTTCCGGGTGGTGGCACCCAAATCGCACCCACTTTACAGGTCGGTCCCAACCAGACATTAACTCCTAATATGTGAAGGTTGCCCATCACACCTACTTTATAGGGACAGTTCCATCTAGACCTCACCTCTAAATATGTAGGGGATCCCTCTGTTCTTGACACTTGCTGGTGATGTTTATGGGCCCCGGACACTATGACCTGTATTTGGGATACTACCCAAAAATTCTGCCACTTTGGGATAAAATTTTAACTTTGGTTGAAAAACATGTTGGAGATAAGGTTCCAACACACCTCAATTCACTGTATTATAAATGCAGGAAAAATAAGTGAGCGCTAGGTAAAATCAACACTGACAGCGCTGTACACCAAAAAAGGCACCATATAAGACCTTTCAAAGGACACGCATACAAGACAAAAGGGTGCAGCGCTCCTGGAATCTATAATACATGAAACTAATAAATACTATGTTAAAGTGATCATGTGCAAATAAATATATACGCTACTAATTAATAGTGCTGGAAATCGTGAAATCAAATATAAAAGTTCATAGAAGAGGTGATGGTGGGATCCCAAGTGATGTAAGGATGTCCTATGACGGAGACGGTAGGTAAGGTGATATAGGATAATGTGATTGCGCACTCACCAGATACGCAAATCAAATGTGCATAAACTGTAGAGATCACAGGTCATCCAATATCATCAGAAGGATCTGGTCACTGTATACCACACTCCCTGACGACACTGCCACACCTGAGGTTCACCTTGCAATGGATGTAGCTTGCTCTGTGTAGGCAGCTCCCAAAGGAGCTCAAAAGAACAAAGGCGCCCACATAGTGCAGTATTTTTAGGATGTTTATTCCGTTCACAGGTAAGTGGTACAGATAGGAGTAAAATAAAGGATTACTGACCATAAACGTAAGCAAGATGGCCACCGGGGCCCCTCGTGGCGCCGGCGGTGTGGCGTCACACCTGCTGTAGCTCTGCCCTGACGCGTTTCGAGCTGCTGCTCGTAGTCATAGGGGTTCAGCTGAAATACTGCACTATGTGGGCGCCTTTGTTCTTTTGAGCTCCTTTGGGAGCTGACTACACAGAGCAAGCTACATCCATTGCAAGGTGATCCTCAGGTGTGGCAGTGTTGTCAGGGAGTGTGGTATACAGTGACCAGATCTGACCAGATCCTTCTGAAGATATTGGATGACCTGTGATCTCTACAGTTTATGCGCATTTGATTTGCGTATCTGGTGAGTGCGCAATCACATTATCCTATATCACCTGACCTACAATTCACTGTATTGTCCATTCTGCCAGGTTCCTATATACAAATTAAGAGAAACTTAGGTAGACACTTTATTATGGCTGCCCGTTCTGTGATTACTAGACGATGGTGACAGACTGAAGTCCCATTGCTAGCTGAATGGGCTTGTGAAATGGACAAAATCGATTATACAGTACGTATGATTGGTTGGGATGAGAATAAATTAGACTTATACAATCTAATGTGGACTGTATGGTTCTTCAGATATTCCTATGACTTTGATTCCTTTATCTCTTTAAAAGCATGAAGACTCAGTGAAGACCTTGCATTGTGTACCCCCCCCCTTTTTTTCCCTCTTTTTCTTTCTTCTTCTCTTTCCTACTTTTCCTCTTTTAAATTCTACATATATCATAGGAGTTGAAGGATTTTGCTAAGCTTATACTGCCATTATTTAAACACAATTTATTGGCTATTAGTCACCTACAAGTTCTGATAATGCACCTGATATGCATGCTCTGTTGACAAGGCTCCCCACAACCTTATGTTTTGTATATTGTTCCGACTGTTATAACCCAATACTGGGCAAATTTGGATACATTGGCCTAGACAACACATGTATCTGTTTTGTGTGCCTATATTGTTTGCAAACTCTTAGAAAAGTATATTTACTGCCATTTGTAGACGCTATAATTTTCATGTAAACCAATTAATTTACATGTATTGGGATTTTTTTTAGCAAAGACATGTAGCAGAATACATTTTGGCCTAAATTTATGACGAAATTTGATTTTTTTAAATTTTTTACTGGATATGTTTTAACCCCCCTGGCGGTATTCCCGAGTGTAGCTCGGGGTAAAATTTCAGTACCAAGAGCGGTAACCCCGAGCTACACTTACTTACTTACCCTGCGGCGTTGCTCAGGGAGTCCCTGCAGCACTTACCTTGTCCTTCGCTCCCACGATGTGTCCCCTGCAGCGTCCCCGGCCATCTCCTCCGGCCGATGCCGGCATCCGGCTTCCGTGTTTCGGTCCCTGTGACGTCGGGACGCATGGGCGCCGGATTTGAAATTTTTAAAAAATGTCATTTTTAAAAAAATGATTATTATATAGTAAAACATTGCTGTTTCAATGCATTTCACATATATTTTGTCCCGAGTGCTTTGTCCTGCGCCCTGCCTGCATTTTGACTGTTCTTTCTGCTTGCAAACTTAGAAAAGTCCATGGCATCCAAAAAGCGTCCCTTTATGCCAAAAGCGGTTTTAGACCGGCTAGAGAACAGCGATAGTAAATCAGAACCACTTGCAGAATTGAGTGATAATGATTCGTGGGGGAAATTCCTCATCAGACACTGAAAATGATTTTGCGACTTTGCTCAGCGAAGTGCGAATTTGCCTCTGTATTTCAAATTTCAGTGTTTTTGGTTTGATTATATTATTGAATTAAATATATTATTATTATATTATTATTTTTTATGATTATTTATTCAATTATAATTTATGATTTCCTGTTTCAAGTTTTATCATCCCCGGGATGTTTACTAGACTCTTGTTCGGACAGATTTCAGGGAGTTATTCCTAAAAATTACAGCCTACAATAAAAAAACTACATATTTCCATGCAAAAAAATGGTACCGCTTTCAGCACCAAAAAACGGAAATAATCATACCGCCAGGGAGGTTAAAACAGAAAGTAAAAAATATTGTTTTTTTTTTTCAAAATTGTCGGTCTTTTTTTGTTTATAAAAAATAAAAAACAAACAGGCTATCAAATAACACCAAAAGAAAGCTCTATTTGTGGGAAAAAAGGACACAAATGTAATTTATGTACAGCGTTGCATGACCGCGTTATTTATCAGTTAAAGTAACCCAGCGCCATATTGCAAAAAATAGCCTGGTTAGGAAAGGGTGCAAATCCTATGGAGGGGAAGTGGTTAAACACAAATATTCAGGCTAGCCCATTCATGGCCCCAATCTTCACAACATGTGCAAACGTGCAACATGCAGGAAGCAAATTGGTATGTGGTCCCCTGGACATTTTTGCTATTTCATTAGGCAAAAAGAGTTTACCGGCAAAGCAGATAATGGTTGGACTCTGCAATTTCTGACTCGTGCAAATAAATTCACTCAACCCTAAATCCAGCAATGTCTATGTTGAGCTAAATATATGTGGTGGCTGGGAAAAATAGTTAAATTCTGCATTTTTTTCAGTAGGTGTTCTATATGTGAAAGTCAGCAAGGAGGGTGTTCCAGCACCAGTAGCAGGTATGTTCCAGCGAGGTGGATTGGAGCAGCGCTGTGATGGGAGTCACTTTGGGTGTGGGGCCCATGGAACCCAGCTCACGTTGGAGAGGTGGGGAGACCCCTGTCTCAGCTCCCCATATTCATATTATGTGTAAGTCACCCTGTGCCTGTTAGGGGTACAGGGTGATCTGTCCTAATATTGGGGTTGGGGGGTTGTTGATTGTTTAATGCCATGTGGTTGCATCCCATTGTTCTATTGTGTGGCTAGCTTGGGAGAAAACTATTATGGGATGTATGTGTTTATGTGTATTAGCTTAATGGGGGGGTGTCTCCAGCAGCTCTCCCTCCTGATGGGACTGTCTGCTGGTGTGAAGTTTGAATACCTGTGTGCCTCTTGTTACTAAGTGTAGATTGCCCCGCACTGTGTCATTATGCAGGGAGGGGGATGTTTCCCCTGATTGTATAAAAAGCCAGTTCGAGTTTCAAATAAAGAGTTCCATGTTCAGACAGACTGGTATCATCTAGTCTTGTATGGTCAGCTGTGGTGTCTGTGGTCGGTGTTCGGACGGGGAAGCGGTATCATAACGGAAGTACCCAAGCGCAGTCTGGGGCCAGTTCCGTTACAAGCGCAGCCTGTCAAGCTCACCCATTCAAGTCACTGCAGCTGGGGCTCCACTGCAAGCTTGTGGGGTTACCCCTTGGCACGACCCTGAACCAGACTGCATAGTCGAACCAGATTGCCACTAGTTGGAAATTGCTGCAAGCTAAAAGTATGAGCACCACAGCATAGCCTAAGTCCAGCTTTAGCAAGTCCAACATAGTTTACAAAAAGGGAAAGAGAAGGAAGAACAACATGTTCTGTAGCCTAAACGCTGAAAATTTAGTAACAGCAACTGGTCTGATTTACTGCAAACAGAGTGGAAGTGTGCTCCTACAGTGCATAGGAACTGGCAACAAATTGTAAACCTTCACATTAACCATGAGTAATAGAAAGAAACAAGTAAAAAGGAAGAAGGAACAGCCAGTTCGGGAGAGGAGGCAGTGGTGGTTGGTAATGGAGGTTCTGTCTAAAGAAAGGATTTGTGGCTGTATGGTCTACCCTTCTATGCAGCAGGGGCCCTACAATGAGCCCACTGCGCAACACAGTGCTCTGAAAAACTGGCCCTCGCAAAGTATACAGCAACTCCATGTCTTTGGCCTGAAGCAGGTAAAGTGTAAAGAACTGCTGGAGGAAAATCAGTGTTCATCGTTATTTCCCTCAAACTGACTTTGTAGTCAGTACCAGGACAAAAGTCACTGGCAGGTAAGAAGATGCTACCCTTCCAGCGTAGGGCCCACTGGAGTAATTTGGCCTCAAAGAAATACACTATCACTTGACCTAAGTAATTAATTAAAAAATATATATTTTAACAATTCTGCACTATGGTAAATACGCGTCTATAAAAAATTAATTAATTAAACATGAACAGCCACCACAATATTGCAGGCAACAATACATATACTAAAAAACATGAGGATGCAATACCAAATATCAAAAGATGCAATGTAAATAAAAGTCCAATACGCATGTGAAGACAGAACGAATTCCTCTTCGTTAGGACACCAATATTATCATGATGCTTAAAAATTTGATCAAGAAGATGAAAAGGGTTCACCATCACCAACACCCAAAAAAAATTCAGCCTCTTACCAGACCATATAGACCCCCAATTACGGACGGGTCAAAATACGTGACAGAAATCCCAAAGATCAGAGTGAGGACCTGGATGCTAAATAGCTCCAAAAAGATCAAGCTGTCTCCCAGTACTGAGTAGATAAAAATCCACTGAATTGATCCCAAAAACAAACTGTGGATCAGATGATGAAAAAATGGCTCCGAACTAATTGCTCCAGAGAGTAAACCTGCAGAAAATGGATTATCCTCATAGAGGACAGTCCCAATTTAAAAAAAAAAAAAAAAAAAATCCTCATAGTGTAGTAATTTCTGAAAGATTTATTGCTTAAAATGTAGTATGAAACATACATCAATGAAAATAGTAAAACAGCATTTCACCATAGGAAACAATGATATATTTCAAACCAATAAAATGGCCGCCATGTTTCGGTATGCGCTGACGTCATGTGCTCTGGCTCCTCCCATTAATTTAAAACTGACAACATGTGTTTCCCCCTCAACTCAAGACCACCGGAGTGTGGGGGTGTCAGACCGATCTTGTGCTGGGAGGATCAGAGGAACAGGTAAATGTATCTCCTCTCCCCTAGACATAGCTAGATAAGAAGTCAACCCATGCAGTGCGGGCAAGTTGCATACTCAGGGCAGCACAGTGGTTAAATGGTTAGCACTTCCGCCTGGCAGTACTAGGGTCGATGGTTCGAATCCCAGCCACGGCACCACCTGCCTGGAGTTTGCATGTTTTCCCTGTGCCTGCGTGGGTTTTCTCTGGGTGCTCCGGTTTCCTCCCACACTCCAAAGACATGCTGGTAGGTTAATTGGATCCTCTCTAAATTGGCCCTAGTATGTGTATGTATGAATGTGAGTTAGGGACCTTAGATTGTACACCCCTTGAGGGTTAGGGACTGATGTGAATGTACAATATATATGTAAAGCGCTGCGTAAATTTACAGCACTATACAAGTACCTGAAATAATTAAATACATACTCAGTAAGTGAACAAATCAGTTGGTGAAAATGCTAATAAATGCTGAGGGTTTAACCACTTCCATGCCACCCTATAGCAGAAATACTGCTACAGGGTGGCACGGGTGCGCAAAATCACGTATACATACACGTGATTTTGCAGTTCCGGGTTCCGTCAATCACCGGGTCCTGGCCGGTGATTCCCCGCCAGCACCTGGAGATCTCTGAGTATTACCAACGGGGAGGGACCTGTATGTAAACATATCAGAGCCATACAAAGCAGTGTGCTTACAGTGTGCTAAAGCACACACAGCCCCCATAGTAAAACAGCACACAGTTAACTCTTTGATAGCCCCACGTGTTAACCCCTTCCTGCCCAGTGTCATTAGTACAGTGTCGGTGCTTATTATTAGCACTGATCACTGTATTGGTGTCACTGGGGATATTAGTGACACCAAGTCAGTTTCCCCCCCCAGTGTCAGAATGCCCGCTGACGTCTTGCTATAAGTTGCTGATCACCGCCATTACTAGTAAAAAAGGACGTAAATTTCATTTGGATGCAGTGTGGCATGACCGCGCAATTGTCAGTTAAAATAACGCAGTGCCGTATCGCAAAATATGGCCTGGTCAGGAAGGGGGGTAAACCAATTAATTTACACGTATTGAGACTTTTTTTTTTTAGAAAAGATATGTAGCAGAATACATTTTGGCCTACATTTATGACAAAATTAGATTATGTGTTTATTTTTCTACTGGATAAGTTTATAGCAAAAAGTCAAAATTTTTTTTTTTCAAAATTGTCAGTTTATTTTTGTTTATAGCACAAAAAATAAAAACACACAGGCGATCAAATACCACCAAAAGAAAGCTCTATTTATGGGGAAAAAAAGGAAGTAATTTCATTTGGGTGCAGCGTTGGCCTGGTCAGGAAGGGGAGGAACCAATTAATTTAAACCTATTGGGATTTTTTTTTTATAGAAGATATGTAGCAGAATACATTTTAGCCTAAAATTATGACAAAATTTAATTTTTTAATTTTTTTTACTGGATGTTTTATAACAAAAAGTCACAAATATTTTTGTTTTTTTTTTTTAAATCGGTGGTCTTTTTTTGTTTATAGTACAAAAAAATTTAAAAAACTCACCGGCCTCACCGTGTCTAAGCCTTGAGGCCAAGCGGCTGCATATTTGTGTGCAATTAGAAAATACATATGTGCTGAGAGTGCGAGTCCTGCGCGCTCCCAGCACATATGTCCGCGACTCACGGAAAGGTCCCGATCTCCCGTTTCGATCGGGACCTTTTCCGATCATGGGACCACCATGACGGCAAATCATGTCGGTCACATGACCCTAAAACCCCGCCCCGCCTCATGAAACTCCTAAAGGGCCGGGAGACGCCAGCGCCAAGGGGTTAAACCAGGGACGGACTGACAACTCATGGGGCCCCCGGGCAATAGGGAATCATAGAGCCCCTGTGTCCTTGCCCAAACTCAAAAAAGCCTATGAAAAAGGTACCAGGGGCATCTCATGGAGCCCCCTACTGACCCCGGGCCCTCTCTCTTTATCCGACCTCCATTTTTGCTGCGATAAATAAAATGAAACAATAAAATTAACCCCCTGATGTTGCAGCCTTGCCGATTAAAAAGATTTATGAGCAATAATAAAATAACATGAATTAAGGCGATCTCTATGCTAATGCGCCGTAATATGAAAGCCCGCAATTAGTAAAGGAACGCTGGCTCCAATAGCACCTCTCCGGTCACCGTATCTCCATGCTCCTCTTGCCTGGAAAAGTGGTAAACATGACATTTTTATCTTGTGGGAAAGGTTAGCAGTCAGAAAGATTAATGTTTTGTCCATTAGCCGGATCATTGTAATGTAATCTGCGTTCTAACAGATGGACGATTGCACCCAATAAATAAAGATATTAGTGTAAATACCACTGAGCTAATTGACGCCGGCTTCGCTGGCCAGGAAAAAAAAAAAAAAATGGGAAAACAAGATACAGTTGTGCTGTTGACAGCTGGGAATATGACTGAATGCGTTCCTGGCTCAGTGACAAAGAGCACCTGCGCTGCTACCGGAATCTCATTTCTATTCTTCATTAGGACAGCTTGGTCTGCGGGAGGCCTGCATAGTTTTGGGGGGCAAGGAGGACGAGCTGTATGGTAAATGGTTAACCACTTCCAGCCCGGATGCTTTCACCCCCTTCCAGGTCAGGACAATTTTCAGCTTTCAGCGCTATCACACTGTGAATGACAATTGCGCAGTCATGCAACACTGTACCCATATGAATTTTTTAGCATTTTTTTTTAGACAGATAAAGCTTTATTTTGGTGGTATTTATTCACCGCTGGGATTTTTATTTTTTTTTTTTGCTATGTAAATGAAAAAGTCCAAAAATGTTGAAAAAAGTGTTTTTCTTATAAAATTTTGCAAATAAATAATATTTCATCATAAATCTTAGCCAAAATGTATTCCGTTATCTTTTTAGTAAAAAACAAAATAACCCAAATGAGTTTATAACCAAAAATGATAATTTTAAACATTTTTTTTACATTTTTATTTTATTTTTTATTATTATGTTTTTTTTTTTTTACATACTGTCCTACTTGTGGGGGGTGATGAAGATTTTTTTTTTTTTACACTGATTGCTTTTACACCCATAAAGGCTGTAAAAGCAATCATTTCTCCTTCTCTCTGGCTGCATTCTTGCAGCCATTGAGAAATACTGTGAGAGCTGTGATTGGTCACAGCTTGTCACATGGTACAAGGCTATTGTGAATGGCCTTGTACCATGTGACCTCTGTGATCATTCACAGATTTCACACGTACAGTTGTGACCAAAATTATTCAACCCCCAATGCTGTAAAGGGGTTTAGGGACTATAGTGTACATTTGGAATTGTATTCAGAATCAAATCCTACAAGGACGTTGTAACTACCCAAATGCAACTAAAATGACATCAATTGTTTATGTAATACAGTAGTAAATGGTTCTTATGTGGTTTCTTCATTGCCACAATTATTCAACCCCTTAAAGACTACCACTCTGAAGAACAGAGGTTCATACAGGTGCTTTCCATCAGGTATTGAAAACACCTGTGGATGTCACCGAGCAGCAATCAAGCATAATAAGCACCAATTAGGCAGCTTTAAAATGACTGTGATACTCAGCTCCTTCTAGACATTTACTGGTGTGGTTACAAACATGGTGAAGGCAAGAGAATGGTCCAGGAAGACAAGAGAAGAGGTGATTTCTCTTCACAGGAAGGGCAATGGCTATAAGAAGATTGCAAAGATGTTAAACATACCAAGAGACACCTTAGGAAGCATCATTCGCAAATTCAAGGCAAAGGGCACTGTTGAAACGCTACCTGGTCGTGGCAGAAAGAAGATGCTGACTTCGACTGCTGTGCGCTACCTGAAGCGTAGAGTGGAGAGAAGTCCCCGTGTGACTGCTGAGGAACTGAGAAAAGATTTGTCAGATGTGGGTACAGAAGTTTCAGCCCAGACAATAAGACGCACACTGCGTAATGAAGGCCTCCGTGCCAGAACTCCCAGGCGTACCCCCTTGCTGTCTCCAAAGAATAAGAAGAGTCGACTGCAGTATGCCAAAAGCCATGTGGACAAACCACAAAAGTTGTGGGATAGTGTTCTGTGGACTGATGAAACAAAATTAGAACTGTTTGGGCCCATGGATCAACGCTATGTTTGGAGGAGGAAGAACAAGGCCTATGATGAAAAGAACACCTTGCCTACTGTGAAGCATGGTGGAGGGTCAATCATGCTTTGGGGCTGTTTTGCTTCTGCAGGTACAGGGAAGCTTCAGCGTGTGCAAGGTACCATGAATTCTCTTCAGTACCAGGAGATATTGGATGGAAACGTGATGCAGTCCGTCACACACCTGAGGCTTGGGAGACGTTGGACCTTTCAACAGGACAATGATCCCAAGCATACCTCCAAGTCCACTAGAGCATGGTTGCAGAGGAAAGGCTGGAACATTTTGGAGTGGCCATCGCAGTCACCAGACTTAAATCCGATTGAGAACCTCTGGTGGGACTTAAAGAAAGCAGTTGCAGTGCGCAAGCCTAAGAATGTGACTGAACTGGAGGCCTTTGCCCATGAAGAATGGGCGAAGATACCCGTAGATCGCTGCAAGACACTTGTGTCAAGCTATGCTTCACGTTTAAAAGCTGTTATAACTGTAAAAGGATGCTGTACTAAGTACTAAGATTGAATGTCACTTGGGGGTTGAATAAAACTGATAATGCTGTGAGCACAGAAAAGACATTTGTGGTTATTATTTCATTATAACTGTTATGTTATATTTGTCTGACCTACAAGTGCCTCTTTAATGTAAATGTAAGCAAGATGACTGAATGATCAAAAGCAATGTCAAACTGGCCAAAACACTCAATTTCAGTGGGGGTTGAATAATTTTGGTCACAACTGTAGTAAGCAATGATGTCAAAAGTGACATCTTGCATACTACTCTGCATGTGAGCACTGATTGGCATGATCGGGACCTCGTACAGAGGTCCCGTCTGACGATCGGTGTTTCACACAGCGGGCACTGGATCGCTATGCTGCGCGCTCCCAGGAAGCAGGGGGCGGCAAAACCGTTTATAAATGGCCACCTACTCCTGCACTGCCACCGTCCGGCCGTTTATATACAACGGCTGGACAGGAGGTGGTTAATGCTGAATGCTAGGCAGACATAAAATACATAAATGAATCCTGTATTAGGCTCCGTTCACACCTATGCAGTTTGCTTTTTGCCCATTTTGCAGTTCGTGTTGCGTTTTCTACATGCGTTTTTTTACGCATTTTTTATGCATTTTTGACACGTTCTTACTGCGTTTTGCATCTTGTTTTTTTAACTGGAATTTGTTGCTGGGCATAGAAACAATTGAGTATTGTCCGTGACACTTTTTCTATTTGCACTAACATACAATTTTGAGGTCAAGCTTTTGGGGTATGTCCTCTTCTTCAAGGTCCAAACAGTGCTGGGCATAGAAATGCAAAAACGCAAAATACGGCACAAACACGGCACGAACACACTACCATGCATTTCAGCAGCTTCTTCATTGAACTCTATTGAAGCAAAAAACGCTGCTTTTTACTTTTAAAAAAGTCCCTGACCCTTTCCAAAAACGCAGAGGCTCAAAAAAGAATAGATGCGTTCCATAGGAAAACATGGTAAATGGACTGTAGTGTGCAAAAATTCACTAATAAATGCATTGGTGTGAATAGAGCCTTAGCTCTGGTTCACACTGATGCGGTGCTGAATCTGCAGCGTTTTCAGTGTGAATTCCGCACCACATCAGAATCGCACCCCTTTCATGTGAACAGCTGTGGGTGTGTATGTTAAGTTAACAACACCCCGAAAGTGGTCCGCAAAACGCGGTGCAATGTGTAGAGTTGGATCGCATAGGTGTGAATACTCATGTGATCCGATTCTACTGCGGACCCAAAAAAGGGTCCTGCACGTTTTTGGTGCGGTGCAAATAAATCATACAAAATCGCACTGCACAGGAACCGCATGTGCGGTTCCTGTGCGAATCACATGCGATGTACCGCACCGCACAGATGTAAACCCAGGCTTAAACCCAATATATTGCAGCTTAAAGTGGATTTCCAGCCCCTGACACCTTCCAAACAACACATTAAAAGTCAGAAGCTACAAACAGGGGCGGACCAGGGGCGGACTGACCATTTGGGAAAACTCGGGCACTGCCCGAGGGCCCGGGGTCAGTACGGGGCCCCATGAGATGCCCCTGGTACCTTTTCATAGGCTTTTTTGAGTATGGGTGCGGACACAGGGGCCCCATGATCCCCTGTTGCCCGGGGGCCCCATGAGTTGTCGGTCCACTCCTGGGGCAGACTGACCATTTGGAAACCCAGGCACTGCCCGAGGGCCCGAGGTCAGAAGGGGGCCCCATGGGATGCCCCTGGTACCTTTTTCATAGGTTTTTTTGAGTGTGGGCAAGGACACAGGGGCCTCATGATCCCCTATTGCCCGGGGGCCCCATGAGTTGTCAGTCTGCCCCTGGCTACAAATACCGTAGCTGCTGACTTTTAATAGTAGGACACTTACCTGTCCAGGCATCCAACCGTGTCCTTTAGTAAAGGATTCAAAAGTCAAGATAATCAGTCTTATAGAACAATCCAGCATGTACATCCAATATTCCGGCGCCCTTGCTGTTCTTGTCTACATGGTTTACTGGATCAGTCCCAAGATCGGTTTACAAGGAGCTGCAGGATCTTCTCTCCATCCTTCATCCAGTCTTTTACCATTACTTATGGAACAGGGAAGTGCGCTGAGTGATTATATGTTCGGCTTACCTGTATGTATTTATTTGGTTGCTTAGCCATTCCAAGAAAACTTTGAATTCTCTCAAAGAATGCAAAGCATTCCCTGATTGGACAAGGTGAAGAGGCGGGTGGTAATGTCACGATCTCCATCATGTCCTATCAGAAAATACTTTGCATTCTTGAGAAAATGGAAAGTGTTCTCTGGCGCCTGTGCCAAGCATGTGACCTCCTGTGTTCAGTAAGCATCAGTGAAGGTGCTGGACATGGAACCTGGAAGCTAGTGGAGATGCCTACTACAGTCATATCCAACAGGTATAGCACATACTGTACATACCTACATTGGTCCAAGCAATTCCAATGTACCTATGTAAAAAAAAATCCATACATGGAATTCAGCTTTCATTTGAAAGATCCAATAAGAAGTAATTGGAAAAAAGTTCAATCATCAATACCTTTCAGGACAAGGTATTGAAAAAATGTATGAACAGGAGCCAGGCGCTGTGTAGTTTTGTGATAGAAATAATACACCTTGTATGGAGGTGTGTCTTTAATAAGTCATATGGTAAAACAATAATAAATAACCAGCCTGTGGCTTTAGGAAGCCAGGTTCCAAGATGGACGGCCCGTCCGCTCAGAGGGAAGCAGTGGAGTAGAATGCCTGTCAGTGCAGGGACCACGTTTACCCGACGTCCAAGCGTCCTGGATGATGTCACCACGATGTGGAGAGACAGAGGGGGGGAACTCTTGCTGGAGCCGCAGCTTTAGAAGGAAGAGGCTGGTTGCTGGGATTGAAAAAATGTAATTGCACAAATAAAACTTTTTTGCAGAATGCCAAAATAAATTCTATAAAAAGGTAAACCTTTCAATTCCTACATTTGACTATGAATGTTTTGATTGTTTATTCAGATACAGTAATATCACAAAATGGAAATCTTGAAGTAAGGAATGCATTTAACAAATTTTTTTTTTACTCATCAGATTTGAATGTTGTTTGCCCAATCCAATGAATTCTTAAACATAAGCACATCCAGGTTCCAATTTTATGCTAATCATGCCTGTCAATGGAAAAGTTTACTTTGGCAGAAGGATCCATGTAAAAAAAAGCAGAATCTAGACAAACAGCATATTTTGAGGACTCAATAGCAAAGGTGGATACCAGAGAGTGATTCTAATGAAATCCAAAGCATTTCTTTCTAAATGGAAAAGTTAATAGCAAAGCACAAGGCGCACAAAGAGCAAATGGTCCGTGAATTATAATAAATCTGAGGAACATCTTCTCATGTATGTGTGCATACACAGCATGATTAGACAGATGTATACACAACAGTTCTGCTTTACTGTTCCTTCTCCCTGTCCAAGTCTATGAGTCTATGCACTCCCCAGGTGGCTGATTTTTTTTTATCTCAACAAGTTTTGAGAAAGAGAGTTCTTGTACTGAACCAGTGACAGCTTCCTCAAGTGTCTAACTTAAAAATAACTGGATTTTAAAATACAATACTATTTGCACCTTCTGCTGTAGCCTCTTTGCAGTTACCTCTAGTCTACATACATGTCAGCAATGGCTGCATGGCATTTCTCAGGGAGGGTTTCCTTATGATGGCAACAGTGGACCATGCCGTATAATGTATGTTGAATGTGTCACTTGTAATCTCCATAAGAAGCTCAACTGACAGAGAGACGGTGCTGAAACACAACTGGGAGACAACTGAGAAAGAGTGTTGTAAGCAGTTTGGTTAGGCTGCAAATTAGGAGGGAGAGAAGAGGCTGATTTTATTTTGTAATACAAATTAGAGTGTATTCTCTGAAAGACAATAGCTACAAATATTTTATAGTGACTGAACAGTATGTAAGTAGATTGATTAGGCCACAATATGGAAGAGACAAGGCAGGTTTTATTTGAAAATAAACATTACAATGTATTATCTGAGAGACAATATCCACAAATATTTTATAGTGGTTGGACAGTATGTAAGAAACTTTGTTAGACCACAATATAAAGGAGAAAGACAAGGCAGGTTTTATCTTTAAGTAGAAATTAGAGTGTATTATCTAAAAAACAAAAGCCAAAATTATTGATCAGTGGCTGGACAGTATGTAAGCAGCCTAATTAGGCTGCAATAGAAGAGAGAAACCAGGCAGGTTTTATATTGAAATAACATGATACTGTGTTTTTGAGAGACAATAGCCATAACTATTGTACAATGACTGAACAGTGTATAACCGGTTGTTTTGGCCAAAGTTTACCAGGGAGAGACAAGGAAAAGTTTATCTTGAAAAAAAATGTGGGTGTAATATCTGAAAGACAACAGCCACAAATACAGTATAGTGACTGAACAGAATTTAAGCAGCCTGGGTAGGCTGCAAGTAAAAACAGAGAGGAAATACAGGTTTTATCTTGAAATAAACATTGCAGCATATATCTGAAAGACAAAAGTCACAAGACACAGACATACCATGCCTTTAGACAGTGGGACCCCACAACCACTTTTTACCCGAAGAACCTGCTTGTACCTACAACCTCCAAATGCAGAACCTCTACCTCTCATTTCGGGCCTGCCTGACAACATTATTATATTTTTTATTAATAAATTATAGTATTATTATAATATAGGGATTGACTGAATTTAGTAACGGCAATGGTAATGGAGGATACACATGTGGTGCTTTGGTGCTCATTAGGAAGGTCAGTTTTGCCTATGCCAGCAATAAGTGTACATTGTTCATGCCTGGGAAAAAAAGCCCTATCAATAGAAAATGAATTGAAATAATCCTCCTTCCGAAAAAAACCTCTGCAACGCTTAACTCCCAACCCATTTTAATCTATCAGATAATATGGATAAATGCTACCAATAAATAAATAAAACCATGAATAAAGAAACAGCAGTAGTTCAACAGAAACTATAGTTCTTGCTGACACACACATAAAAGGTAATCCTAAAAGGGACTTTTGTGTCTCTGAACTGTGAACATTGGTTTTGGAGGGGTTTGACGAGAATATTTAGTCCACAATGCAATCCATAGTAAATGTTTACTATATTACAATGGTTACCACAGGATATTATTATTATACAGGATTTATATATTATTATACAGGATTTATATATTATTATTATTATACAGGATTTATATATTATTATTAGAGATGAGCGAATTATTCAAAAATTCGGTTCGGCTGATTCGCCAAATTCGCGGAAAAAATTCGCTTCGAGCCGAATATATTCGCTGCGAATTTAACTTATAAAAAGGGTGTTTCTAGGCTTCAGAGAGCCTTTATATTAGTGCAGAACACTGTACCTTTAATTTAAATGCCCTTGGAGTCTGCTGGGGAAGAGAAATAATATTGTCAGTCAGTATGACATGCAGATGAGTGCCGTCGATCTTAGAATCACCGCACACTTCACTCATTTGGGCAGTCACGGGGCCAAAACCAGAGTGTGGAGCCACAGTGTGGCGGTGGAGGCAGCAGCAATGGGAGGCCATACAGCACCCTATGACAAAATGGAACCCACCAGCAGTGTGAGGAGACCTGAAAGTGGCACATGGCAGAGTGTGGCGATGGAGACAGCAGCAATGGGAGGCCGTACAGGGACCCATGACACACTCTGGACCTGGCAGCAGCATGAGGAGGCGGTACAGGGGCCCATGACAGATTACGGGCCTGGCAGCAGCATGAGGAGTCGGTACGGGGGCCCATGGCAGATTACGGGCCTGGCAGCAGCATGAGGAGGCGGTACAGGGGCCCATGGCAGAGTGGCGGAGCGTAAGCAGCTAAAATTGAAGGCCATACAGAGGCCTATGTTAAAAAGTCCCCCCAGCAGCAGTGTGGGGAGACGACTATCAAGAGTCCAATGGCAGAGTGGCGGAGCAGAAGCAGCTTCAATTGAAGGCCATACACAGGCCTAGGTTAAAAAGCGAAAGCCGTAGCAGCGTGAGCAGACGACAGAGACACATGGCGCAGGGTGGCGGTGGATGCAGCAGTATTCGGAAGCCAAACACAGGCCTCGGTTAAAAAGCGGAAGCCGTCAGCAGCGTGAGCAGACGACAGAGGCACATGGCGCAGGGTGGCGGTGGAGGCAGCAGTATTCGGAAGCCATACACAGGCCTAGGTTAAAAAGCGGAAGCTGTCAGCAGCGTGAGCAGACAACAGAGACACATGGCGCAGGGTGGCGGTGGATGCAGCAGTATTCGGAAGCCAAACACAGGCCTCGGTTAAAAAGCGGAAGCCGTCAGCAGCGTGAGCAGACGACAGAGGCACATGGCGCAGGGTGGCGGTGGAGGCAGCAGCAATGGAAGGCCATACAGCACCCTATCACAAAATGGAACCCACCAACAGTGTAAGGAGACCTGAAAGTGGCACATGGCGCAGGGTGGCGGTGGAGGCAGCAGTATTCGGAAGCCATACACAGGCCTAGGCTAAAAAGCGGAAGCCGTCAGCAGCGTGAGCAGACGACAGAGACACTTGGCGCAGGGTGGCGGTGGATATGCAGCAGTATTCGGAAGCCAAACACAGGCCTCGGTTAAAAAGCGGAAGCCGTCAGCAGCGTGAGCAGACGACAGAGGCACATGGCGCAGGGTGGCGGTGGAGGCAGCAGTATTCGGAAGCCATACACAGGCCTAGGTTTAAAACTGGAACCCAGCAGTGTGAGCAGACGACAAAGACGCACATGGCAGAGGATGGATCTGGCAGCAGTATGAGAAGGCGGTACAGGGGCCCGTGGCACAGTGTGGTGATGGGGGCTACAGCAACTGGATGCCAGAAAGTGGCCGATAGGGCTATATACTGCATGACTACATAGGTGGTTTTTATAGTAC